TGAGTCTTCATTTAAAAGGGAATTTAAAGGAAAAAAAGAGAAGGTAATAACCCTGCCCAGGCAAAAAAAAAAGCATTTGCTCCTAGAATCCTGTGAAATAAGGCAATAATGGTGGCCCCATCAAGGAGCCAGGTGTGGAAGAGAGACTGGCTGGGTAAGACAGCTTGGATGTGGGGTTCAACACAACAAGCAAATAAAGCGATGCTCCCCCTCATCTCCTGAGCAGACATCGCTTGAAACAAGCTGGCTGAAGATGGTTTAATCACTGCACAACCAATCTCACAAAGATCTGCACTGATCTCACAAAGCCCCTGCTCTGCAGAGCCTTTGTACCTACCATGAAGTTCTGCTGAAGGGGGGACCAGGAGTACATGATGGGCACCAGAGCCACGGTGTTCAGCGTCCTCATGTACAGCGTCTGGCTTGGAAATCCTGGAAAAATGCTCTCCACGGTACACTGGGAGAGAAACGAAGAGAAAGGCAGTGAAGAAACAGCCCCTGGGAGGCAGCCACAGGAGGAAACTGCACTTCAGGACAAACAAAAGTGCTGCGGTCACTCATTGTGGCTCCTCCATAGTAAAAGCTTCTCCCCCCCATTTACCAAACTATCTATAAATTATCCTCGCAGTTCCCTGCAAAGCCCTGGTTCTGATTCACCTTTGTTGCTGCTGTGCCTTTCTTTTGCTCTCCCTACCTGTTTTAGGAAGGGGTGCCCACTGACTGGCTTCATCAACTGCACCGGCTGAACTCGAAGCTTCTTCCAGTCTTCGTTCAGGATTTGAGTCTTTTCGTGAACCTTTGCAAAGTTGGCCACAAAAAGAGCCTGAAACGAGGGAAAGAAGCACTGGAAACTTAAAAATCACGTCGAGGTTGAGAACATCAAAATCCCTCCTGAGATTTTGTTTCACGTATCAAAACGTAGCCGAGGCAGAGCACTTCAGACTGATGACACTCGTTAGAAGGAATCCTAATTAACCTCAGCATCGCTACAAAGCTGTGCCGAACACGTAGCAAGAGCCAGCAGCTTTTAATAATTCTTGATCGGATCCAACCTGTTCTAAAATCTTACCTGCCACGGAGAAAAGCAGAGGCAGAAACCCAGGGAGCCTGAGCACCGAGGGGGTTAAAGCAAGGAGAGACTTTGCAGGGTCAGTGGAAAGGAGTCCTCTCCCTGCCCACCCTGCTCTGCCTCAACCACGGAGCACGAAGGGAGCTGAACTCTCTTCATGCTTACCATGGCTACAACCGAAATGCAATTTTGCAGCTCTCCCTGTGAAGCTCTCAGCTGCAAACTGCTCAAACGCCACAAGCCAGAGCGAAGGCTCAAGCAGAAATCCTCCCAGCTAGAGCTGGCACCTCTCGTTCCAGCTTTACCTTGGCTCCCATGTTCGCCTGAAACCTCTTGAGCTGCCGAAGCCGCATGTATTCGGACTTGACTTTCCTTTTCCAGTATATGATACACTTCGACGTCGGAGGAGTGGCGATTTCCATTTTTCTACAAAAAACGCAGGAAGAGTAAATATCGAATAACGGAGAGCTTAGCGTTACGAACGAGTGGTGTTAGGAAAAAAAAAAGAAGAAAAAAAACAACACGTGGATTTTAAATGCATCACAGGCTTTAACGAGGAAAAAAATAATCACATAAATCTGCACGAGCCCTTTTTACGGAACAATTAAGAGCACAAATTGCACCGAAAAGCTCGGAGAGCTCTTGGATGTAAGCGGCAGCAGAGAACTGCGTGTGCTGACAGGGATTCAGCTGCCTCTGCCCTGCGTGAACCCCTCCGAGTCCTCCACGGGCACCGTGTCCGCGCCGTTCCCCTTTCTCCTTCTGCCCAGGGCACCGGCAGAACAAAACATCGCCGCCAGGAGCCTCCTCACGTCCAGCCAGAGCCTTTCTGGCCCTGCCAGGAGGCCGGGGAGGATTTCTGTTTGTTTTTCAGCCCTTCCCTTCAGAAAGGCACCGCTGTATCCAGCAGGAACCAGCAGGTTTCGAGGGACGAGGGGCAGCCTTCGAGCCCCCCAGGGAAGGGATGCTGCAGCCCCCTCCCCAGGGTTTGGCCCCCAGGGTTGCCAAACCCTGCTGCAAACACCCCCTGTGGGGCACGGACGTGCTCTGCCCTCCCTGCAGCCCCCCCAGCCTCGTGCCCAGGGGGTGGCAGCAGCAAACGGGCCCCTGACGGCACGAAAACCCTACAGAAATGGGGTTTGTCCTCACAGCCCGCAGGGTTTTGGGGGGAGCCTGGTTGGGGGGGGATGGAGGGGCCAGCCCGAGCCTCCTGCCCCACACGGTCACTGCCCTACAGGGGTTTGGCCTGCCCCACAGGCCCCAAAATACCCCGCAGGGCCCCCAGCTGCCCCCACAAGCCCTGATCTGCCCCCACAGGGGTCCCACACTGCCCCACAGGCCCCTCGGCATGCCTGTGGCCCCCCCAGGATGACCCCATAAGCCGCAAACTGACCCATGGGGGCCCCATTCTGCCCCACAGCCCCCCCCAGTTACCCCCATCAGCCCTGATCTGCCCCAGAAGTGCCCCACAGGGGCTCTGCTCTGCCCTACAGGCCCCAACCTACCCCACAACCCCCCCGAGCTGCCCCCACAAGCCTCCATCTGCCCCACAGAGGCCCCGATCTGCCCCACAGCCCCCCCAAACTGCCCCCCCAAGCCCCAATCTGCCCCATGGGGGCCCCACTCTGCCCCATAGGCCCCCCAAACTGCCCCCCCAAGACTTGATCTGCCCCACAGGGGCTCCGATCTGCCCCACAGCCCCCCCCAAACTGCCCCCCAAGCCCCAATCTGCCCCACAGCCCCCCCAAGCTGCTCCCACAAGCCTTGATCTGCCCCACAGGGACCCCTCTCTGCCCCACAGCCCCCCCAAATTCCCCCCACAACCCCCGATCTGCCCCAAAGCCCCCTCAAACTGCCCCCCAAGTCCCAATCTGCCCCACAGGGACCCCTCTCTGCCCCACAGCCCCCCCAAACTGCCCCCCAAGCCCCGATCTGCCCCATGGGGCCCCCACTCTGCCCCCCAACCCCCCAATTTTCCCCCTCCCCCCCCCCAGCAGCCCCCCAGCTTCCCCTCTCTACCCCCCCCCGGTGCCCCCCCCCAGCAGCCCCGAGCTCCCCCCTTCCCCCTCCAACCCCCCCCCCAACCCGGGGGGGCTCCCCCGCCCCTGGCGGCCCCTCGCGGCCCCTCCCCTCCCACCGCCCCCCCCGCCCCCCGCCCCCCGCGGGACCCCAGGCCCCGCCCCGCCCCGCACTCACTCCTCGGCCATCGCGCCGGGGGAGGCCGCGCTCCCCTGCGCACCGCGCATGCGCCGACACGAAGCCCCGCCCCCTCCCCCCCGCAGAAGCCCCGCCCCTCTGCGTGGAGGCCCCGCCCTCTGTTCCTCAGGCCACGCCCCCTCCCCCCGAGACCCCGCCTTGTGCGCGCAGGCCCCGCCCCTTCACCTGCAGGCCACGCCCCCTTCGTGTAGAGGCCCCGCCCACCCTGGTGGTGGCCCCGCCCCTTAGCCTGCAGCCAAGCGGGGTGTGCGGCTCAAGCCACGCCCCCTCCGCTCAAAGCCACGCCCCTCGGGTTAAGCCACGCCCCTTGAGTTAAGCCACGCCCCCGAGTTAAAGCCCCGCCCCTTGTGTGGCGCATGCCAAGCAGCCCCAGGGGGCGTCCCAGGGGGTCCCAGGGGGTCCTGGGGGGGTCCCGGGGGGGGGTCCCGAGGGGATCCCGGGGTGTCCCGGGGGGGTCCCAGGAGAGGTCCAGGGGGGGTCCCGGGGGGGTCCCGGGGGGTCCCAGGGGGTCCCGGGGTGTCCCGGGGGGGTCCCGGGAGAGGTCCAGGGGGGGTCCCGAGGGGATCCCAGGGGGTTCCGGGGGGTCCCGGGGCCGTTCCCCCTCACAGCGGGCACCGGGAGCGGCTGCCGGTGTCGGACCCGGTGCAGCGGGGCCAACCCTCGGCCTCTGGGGGGCCGAGAGCTTGGAAACTGGGAGCACTGGGAGGCCACTGGGACGCATCCTGTGCGCCTCGCCCCAGGCAGGACGCGCTCGGAAGGGCGGCGGCGGCGCCGGGCAGGAAGCGGCTGCGCGGGGACGGCCCCGGGCCGTGGGGCCGGGGCCGCTCGGGGCTGCTCGTCCTTCCCCCATCAGCCCCCATAAGGCCCAAACTGCCCCACAGGGGCCTCGCTGTGCCCCACAGCCCCCCCAAACTGCCCCCACAAGTCCCCATCTGCCCCACAGCCCAATGGGTCGCACGACCCCACAGGGTGAGGGGTAAGGGACCCTCAGAGCTCGGCCTGCCTGGGTCAGGTCCCACAGGGGGGCTTTGGGTGTCTCCACAGACCCCATAACCCCCCAAGCGGGTTTATTGCCACCATTAAGGTCACCCCGTCACCCCCCTCCCCGCAGCGGGTCCCCGGGGGGCGGTGGGTGCCCGCATCCCACCCGCAGCCCCGATGCCTCCTGCCCCCTGCATCCGCCGCCTTTGGAGCCTCGCTGCTGACTCAGCCCAACGCAGGGACCTCACTGCCCCCCCCCCCCAACCCCCCCCCCGACCCTCCCACCCATAGGGACTGGGTGGAAAGGACTGGGATGGGCCCCGGGACTGGGATATACCCCCGGTGGCCACCTCGGCCCCAAAGCAGCCATCCCGGTGGGTAGGAGGATGCTCCGGGCACGGCTCCTCTGCTGCCTGCTCCTTCCAGTGCTCCGGCAGGGTAAGGGGCTGCGGGGGGGGGGGGCAGGGAAGGGGCTGGGGGCCTCCCCATGGGGACTTTGCCCCCTTTCTGCCCCCCGTCCTGGTCAGGCCGTGCTGGGGGGCATCTCCCCGGCCCCTTCTGGCATCTCCCCGTGGGGGATGCTGCAGGTTTGGCTCGAGCCAGGAGCCCCCTGCTTGTTGGGGCAGGAGGAGGGGGCTTGCTGTGCCGGGACCCCCCCCAAAAGCTCCGTCCGCCCCCAGCTGTGCAGCCCCCATCCCATTTCTCCTGGCTGCAGGGCACGGGGACCCCCTGTACGGAGCCCCCCAGGATGAAGGTAAGGCTGTGAGGCTGTGATGCCGTGGCCGCGGGCAGGGCTGACACAGGGGAATGGGGGGGCCCTGGGCACGGTCCCGTGGGTCCCCCCCCCCGGTGCCGACGGCTCCGTCTGTCCCTCCAGCTGACTACCCGGACCTGGATGAGGACGGTGAGTAGGGCTGTGAGCACCACAGGGGCTTCTTGGTGCCCTGTGGGTAACCGACCCCACAATTTAGGATCCCCGGAGGTGCCGGGGGGGCCGTCCCGCTGCCAGGACCCCTACCAGGACTGGGTGGCCCTATACTGCTGGGCCCCCTTCCACGCCACCCTCATGGCCACCCCCGAGGGCAGCCGCTGCCGCTGGGAGCAGATCGGGAGGTGGGTGCTGAGACGGCTCCGAGCAGCCCCCATGGGGGGCGCTGCCCCCCATACACATGGGGTCCTGCCCCCCCTGGATACCCTCACCCCATCTTTTTCCCCAATTCTCCGCAGCGCCTACAGCGAGCTCTCCGCCTGCACCGAGCTCCTGGCCCGGCTGTTTGCCTGCCCCTGGCCCAGCACCGCTCTCGACGCCTTTTTCCTGCAGGTCCACGCCGAATATTTCAGCAACTGCAGCAGGACGGAGCCCCCCGGGCTGGGGGGGCCGCCCCCCGGGCTGGCTGCCGCTGTGGCTGTGGGGCTGGGCTGCCTCGTGCCCCTCGCAGCCGCCGTCACCCTCAGCAGAGCCCGGAGAGGGGCTCGGAGCCCGGCGGGGGGTGGCACAGCCCCCGGTGTCCCAGTGCCTGAACTGGGCTGAGAGCAAACCCCGGGGGTTCAATGGAGGGGGCGAAGGGTGAGCGGGGTGGGGGTCCGGGGGTCCAGTGGTCCTGTGCCGTGGGGTGAGGTCGGTACTGGGGGTCTGAGCGCCTGCCCTCGGGGGGGGGGGGGGGGGGGAATGGGGAAAAGGGTTCTGGGATTGTGGCCTTGCTGGAATGAGCCCCTTCCCCATGTGCTGAGCCCCCTCCCCACGTGCCAAACCCCTTCCCCACAGGCTGAGCCCTTTTCCCATGTCCTGAGCCCCCTCCCCACATGCTGAGCCCCCTTCCCATGGTCTGAGCCCCCTCCCCATGGCCTGAGCCCCTCTCCCCACATGCAGCCCCCCCCTCCCCATGTGCTGAGCCCCTTCCCCATGTCCTGAGCCCCCTCCCCATGGTCTGAGCCCTCTTTCCATATCCTGAGCCCCTTCCCTGTGGCCTGAGCCCCCTCCCCACAGTCTGAGCCCCTTCCCCACAGGCTGAGCCCTCTTCCCATGTCCTGAGCCCCTTCCCCAGCACCCCAGGGTGGGTCCCAGCGGGGCAGCACCTTGGTGCCAGGCCACGGGGTGGGGGCCGTGACAGCGGGTGCTGGCCGCCTGCCCCCATCCCGTCCCTGCCCGTCCCCTCGGGGCGCCCAGGGAGGGGCCGTGCTGAGCTCACTGGGTGTCTCCCTGGCACCCGCTCAGGCCGGGAGGCTCCAGCGGCTCCGACAACAAAAGGAGCGGGAGCGGGGGCTGCGACCCCGGCAGTTTTATGGCTTCCAGATGCGTCCCGGGGCCAGCGGCGGCCGCGCAGCCCCCCCCGGGCCGCTCGGGTTCAGCCGCCAGCAGCGTTGGTTGGCGAGGGAGGGCGCGAAGCAGCGGGGGGATAGGAGCTGGCCACGGCAGGGGGGGTCCCCAACATGCGTTGAGCTGCGATCTGTGCTCCCGAGGGAGGGTTTTTCTGTTTTTTTTTAAAAAAAGGGGAAGATTTTGGGTCGGAGCCCGGCCGCAGGGCAGCGGTGAAACGAGTTGGCGCGGCCTCAGCCGGCTCCTCGGGGCTGGGGGCTGCGGGGAAAAGCCCCCAGGGTGGGAGCAGGGCTTTTGGCAGAGCCCCGCGGTGGGATTGGGGTCGAGGGCCGGCATTGCCAGCCTCGTCCCTCTGTAATTTCACCACCTCCCTGCCCACTCGGGCCTTGTGCACGTCGTGGCACCGCCGCCGGCCCTTCGGTTCCCACATGGGGCCTGTCATGGCGTGGGGCAGGTGCCCCACAGAGGGGCTACGAGCCCAGTTTTGGGGCCACAAACCACAATCCCAAACCCCCCCCCCCCCACACACACACCCCAAAGCCGAGCGGCGGCGCCCATCCCGGGGCTGAGGCTTTGAAATTTCTCTTTCCCCGGTCCACTCCCCCCCGCTGCCGGGCTGCCTGCCCTCCACGCAGGAGACGAGGGATTTCACAACCCAGCCCAGACAGGATTAAAGAGAAATACACAAGTAAACAAAATCGCGGCCTCCTCACACCGGACGGGGCTGCGAAGGGAGCAGAAGCCTCTCCTAGGCCGGGCCGCCCGGGGTGGTGAGCGCGGGGCGATGCCCACCGGGGTCTGGTGGTGGTGGTGGTGGTGGTGGTAGAAGGGTTTTTTTTTTTTTTTGGGGGGGGGGGGTGGTCCCGCCGGGAGCTCTGCTTGAAAGCAGCGCTGAGCAATCTCATTTTTCACACGTCTCCTGTAGTCCAACTGCCCCTGTCAGAGGAAAGGAGTCGCTTCCTGTTATTTCCATTGAAATACTTGTCCCGCTCGTTAGCCCCGCAGGCTGTGGCAGGATGGCACCGTGCGCGCCCACGGGCTCCGGCCGCCTCTCCCGAGGGCTCCTCCTGCTCTGGGGTAAGTGCACGGCGGGGTGGCTGTGGCCGTGGGGGGGGGCTCCGTGCTTCGTGCCGGCCCCACACGTGGCCGCCGTCCTTCATTTGGGGACGTTTCAGCCCCAAAATCCTGCAGCGAGCAGGACGCGGCGCTGCGGTGGCCGTCGCCTGCCTCGTATCGGGGTGCTGCCTTAGGGTGCTGGGGGGCGCCCCCTCCCCGGGCACAACCCCTTGGGGTAGGGGGGAGGATGGAGGGGTCCCGGCTGTGACAGAGGGGGGAGAGGCGTGAAGGGACCCTCGTGCATGGGACTCCTTCGTGGGGTGCTCCTGTGAGCAGCGGGAGAGCGGCTGGGGGGGTCCCGGCAAGGAGGGACAGCGGGATGGGGACAGGGTGGGCCACCCTTGGGGACAGGGTGGGCCACCCTTGCCGTAGCCACCATGCCTGCCCCAGAGCTCCCCTCCAACCAGCCCCCGGCCCCCCAAAGAAGCCACGGGGGGCGATTCGCCACGCACCGCGGCCTCGCTGCCCAGGGGACAGGATGGCGGCGGCGACTTCCCGAGGGCTGCAGCGGGGCTGGCGGGGTGCCGGGGGGACGCGCCCCACGCCGGTGGCACGATGGAGCACGGGGGGGGTTCTGCTGCGGTCAGCGCTTCCTCTTCCTTCCTGCCTCAGCCCTGCCCGGGCTGCTGACGGGACAAAGCTCGGCCCCGCTGGGGCCACCGCGTGCCACCGGCTGGTAGCCCCCGTCCCCTCCACTGCCACCCGCAGCCAGCCTGGTGGCATCCCCCCCCCGTCACCTCCTCGCTCCCTAACACTGCTCCTGTGGTTCCTGTCCCGTCCCTTCCCGTCCCACCCCGTGCCCACCCCGCTGACCGCGTCCCCTCCGTCCCCTCCGCAGCGCTGCTGGGGCGGGGGCTGTGCCACACGGCCGGCAAGGCGGACGGCTTCGGCCAGGAGGCGAGGACGAGCCCCCCGATGGCCAAGGAGAACTCCACAGGTGGGTGAGCACCGGCAGCACCCCCATCCCCAAATCCTTTCCCTTCCCCTCCGCCCGTCCCCAAATCCACGGTGCCATCCTGGGCACGGTCCCGTGGTGCCATCCCGGGCACGGTCCCCGGTGCGGTGCCGGTGCTCAGCGCCCGTCCCCGTGCAGAGGAGGTGTACGGCGCCATGGCGGAGAGGTGCTGGGAGTTCTTCGTCGAACTGATGAGGAACGTGACGGTGCCGCAGCTGTGCGACTGGAAGGTCATCAGCAGGTAGGGACAGGGGACAAAATATGTCCAGGGGTGACCCCGAGCCCCCAAAAAACCCACCCAGCGCCCCCCCAACCCACCCCGGTTGCGTCCCGCAGGCCCTACAGCTTGCTGCAGGAGTGCTTGGAGGGCTCGGCCGAACACCTCAACCACGGCTACCCCAACGCGCTGGCCGAGCGCTTCATCTTCCAGAGCCACCACCGCTACTTCCACAACTGCTCGGTGGGCAACCAGGTGTTCGACCCCCCCGAGGACGTGCTGCTGGCCATGGTCTTCGCCCCCATCTGCCTCATCCCCTTCCTCGTCACCGTCGTCATCTGGCGCAGCAAGGACGGCAAGGCGCAGCCCTAAGGCGCCTGCCGTCACCGCCATCGTCACCTCTGTGCCCGGTGCCCGGTGCCCGGTGCTGGGCTCCCAGTTACTCCTGTACCGGGGGGGGGGGGGGGGTTGGGTCCAGGACCCCCCCTCCCGGTGCCTCCCTGACCACCCGCCAGCCCGCGGCGGGCTAGTAAAGGCTGCTTGCCCCCAGCCCTGGGGTGCTTCTTCCATGCCCGTTTCCGCCACTGGGGCACAGCCACGGCCCCGCCGCACCGGGAGCCCCCCCCTCCCCTCCGCCCTGGCAGCGCTGCCGCAGCCACCGGGCACCGGCAGGGGGCGTGGCTTAACGGGAGGGGGCGTGGCTTTAACAGGAGGGGGCGTGGCTAAGGGCGGGGTTTGAATGGGTGGAGGGGGTGTGGGCGGGGCTTTGAGGGAAGGGCGTGGCCTCGCGGGGTGGGCGGGGCTTTTTGATTGGTACATTGAGTGGGGGCGGGGCTTAGCTACTGGTGGGCGGGGTTTAGCGAGGCTGTGAGGGGTGGGCGTGGCTTTGGGTGAGTGGGCGTGGTCAGAAAGGGATGGGCGGGGTTATGAGGGATGTGGGCGTGGCTTTGGAGGGGGCGTGGTCTGGGGAAGGGGCGGGGCGGGTGCGGGAGGGGCGGGGCTTGGCGGGGCGGAAGCCGGAAGCCGGAAGCCGGCGGCGGTGGCGGTGGGGTTGGTTCCGGTGGCGGCGGCGGCGATGAGCTTCGCGTGGCCGTGGCAGTACAGCTTCCCGCCCTTCTTCACGTGAGCACCAGCACCGGGGGCGGGGGGAGGCACCGGGCGGTGCGTGGTGGGTGTGGGGGGGGACACCGGGACCGGAACCGGAACCGGAACCGGGAACAGAACCGGGACCGGGGCGGGGGGAGGCAGGGCCGCGGCCTGGTCCCGGTCCCGGTGCCGGTGCCATGGCGGAGCCCCCCGCAGGCTGCAGCCCAACGGCGAGACGCGGCAGAAGCAGCTGGCGGCCTGGTGCGCGCTGGCTCTCGCCTACAGCCGGCGGCACCGGCTGCCCGCCATGACGGTGCGGGAGGCGCAGGACAGCCCCCTGTTCGCCAACCGCCGCCTGCAGCGTATCCTTGGGCACGGCCCCGACACCCCCAAACCCCTCGGACCCCCCCCCCCCCCCCCCGCACCCCTCGGCCCCGGTTACCGGCCCCCCGGTTATCCCCCGGTTACCCCGCCCCTTCCCCGTACCGGTTCCCCGCTGTCCTTCCCCGGCGCCGGTTGCCTTAACACGACCCCCTCCTCCCCAAGCCCCCACCCCGGTCACCCCCTGTCCTCTCCCACCCCGGTTGCCCCTATCCCAACCCCCACTCCCCCCCCCAGGTACCCTCCATCCCGTTCTATCCCAGTTACCCCCTCCCCCATCCCAGTTACCCTCCCTCCTGTCCCCCCCCATCCCAGTTAGTTGGTCCTGGCCCCCCCATCCCAGTTACCCTCCATCCCATCCTGTCCCAGTCCCAGTTACCCCCCATCCAATCCTGTCCCGGTAACCCCCCCCCAGTCCCAGTTACCCTCCATCCTGCCCTGTCCCAGTTACCCCCCCCCAATCCCAGTTACCCTCATCCCCAAACCCCACCCCTGTGTCATGTCCCCGTCCCCCCCCCCCCCCCAAGCTCTGTCAGTGCCTCCTTAACCCCCCTCCCAGGGAAGCTGCCGCTCGAGTCCATCCAGGTGGTGCTGGAGGAGCTCCGCAAAAACGGTGGGTGTCCGTCTGTCCATCGGGGTGGGGTCTGTCCTCTACCGGGGGGGCTCTGCCCCTGACTGCTGTCCCAGCTCCGTGCCCTGCCTCGAAGCCTTCCTCCTGTTGATTCCAGGGAACCTGGAGTGGTTGGACAAGAACAAAACCAGCTTCCTCATCATGTGGAGGAGACCCGAGGAGTGGGGAAAGCTCATCTACCAGTGGGTGAGGAGCTGGAGGCTGCCCCAGCGCGCAGGGGGGGCCTTCCCTGTCCGGAGGGCCTCGTGTAAAAGACTCCTGAACGTCTTCCTCGTGCTTTTCCCCTACTTCTGCTTCCATTCTGCTCACTGCATGGAGCTGCGTTAGCTCCCTCGGGTGTCATTTCTTGCCTTTCTGACACCCCAGCACGTTCTGAGGGGGGTTTTGCTCGTTGGGGGCTGCCCACGTTACGCTTTGTTTGCGCTGGGGTGTGCGAGGGATCGAGCTGAGGGCGTTAAATCACGCAGATCTGCCCGATGCTTTCACGTTTCCAGGTGTCGAAGAACGGTTTGACCAACTCCGTGTTCACGCTGTACGAGCTGGTGAGCGGCGACGACACTGCAGAGGAAGGTAATGCCACTGCTGTGTCCTGCAGCAGCTTTTCAGGGCACGCTTGATCCAAATACCCAAACAGATGATTAGCTGAGCCTACCCAGTGCCTGGTGTGAGATGCAGGCTGTTGAATTTTCACACCTGGCTTCTTGGCTGCCACAGAGACAGCTCTGGCTCACTGCCTCGTGTCTGCTGACCTCCAGGCTCTGTGGCTGATGACTCGATCAGCAGGGCCTTGGGGCTTTGCTGTAGTGTCACGGTGCTGGGGTCTGAGAGGTGCCCTGCAGGGCCCTCTGCCTGCGCTGTCACCGCCCCGTAGATGTCGTGAGCCTCTCTGTTTCCCGCTGTGTTCCTTCTTCTTCTCGCTGACGGGGCTGGTTGTCCTTCCCTAGAGTTCCACGGGCTGGATGAGGCCATGCTGCTTCGCGCCCTGCAAGCCCTGCAGCAGGAGCACAAGGCTGAAATCATCACGCTGGACGACGGCCGAGGCGTCAAGTTCTTCTGATGGGAGCCCTCTCCCTGCTGCTCCTCTCCGGCTGCTGAAGCTGCGAAGGTTTCGTCTCCTGGCCTGGTTTCAAGCCCTGTCTGCAAGCAGCTGCATACTGGGGATTTCTTGGGGCGAGGAGAATCTGTGAAGCCTTCCAGAGACGTGACTTTTTAGAAATCCTCAGAGCTCCTCCGTCTTTCTTTTCTCCCTGTTGTGTTTGAGAGGCTAAAGCTGCTCTCAGCGGCTCTGGGAGGGACCGCCCAGAAGTGAAACCAGGGAAAACTGCTCCCGTGGCTGCTCCCTGCTCCCAGGCAGAGCAGGGGATGGGCTCTTCCGTGGCCGGTCAGGCTTGGCCTCTGAGGGCAGCTCCTTCCCAGCTTCCAGCCGCGTTCCTGGGCTCGGCAGTCCCCGCTGCTCGGGCTGGAGGCAGGGGGATAGGACGTGCTGCTGCTGCTGCGGTGTAAAAGACCTCGCTGGAAGAAGCACGTGCTCGCTGCAGAGCAGGCCGTGTGGTGGGGCGGGTGCCAAGGAGCTAATCTGGAGTAATTAAAATGACAGGATGTATTTATAGAGCCGCCTGGCTGTTTGGGTCTATCTTTATTTTTCCACCCGAAACAAAACACAAGGGCCCACCGAATCCCTGCCCTTCAGCTGCGTCTCCTTGCTGCGCTGTACAAACAGCGCGTGCTGGGTGGGGGGGGGATTGCAAAGCCGCCCCCCCTGTCATGGAATCAGGCAGTGCCGGGGCTTTTCCGCGTGCTGTGGACCACGGGGGCTCCTCCTGCCTGTCCTCAGGGGCTACGCGTGCCTTCATCTCCATGTGCGATCCGCCGAAAATCTCTCGGGTTTGGTGCAGAGGTGGCGGGGGAAGCTCGAAAACGAGAGGCTGGTGGGGGTTGTAATGCAGTTCTGGATTCTCGGTGCTGACAACGAGGTGCACAGCTCGGGGCGAGCTGACCCAGGTCCAGTCTCTGACCCGGTAAATCCTTAATCACTGACGAGGGAGCTCCCCTGGGGAAGGGTCGAGCTCCCCTTGCTCGGTCTTTGCCTCAGATGCGGGGCGCTGCGCTGCAGTGACCTTTAATCCAAGCCCCTGAGGTCGTTTTTAGGATCTCGCAGAGCCCCTCGGCACGCTCCAGCTGGCGCTGAGCAGCTCGTCCTTCCCTCCCTGCCCCTCGCTGGGCTCCTCGGCTCCGCTCCAGCTGCGGTGCTGCTGGCACCCGTTGGCGGTGGTAACCGGCAGTGCAGACGAGATGCCAGAGCCCAGGCTGGGTTTGTGGGACTGGGGGAATTTTAAAATACCTTTTTTTTCCAGCATCTCCCTGGGGCTTGGGTCAGTGCCTGGGGTCTGCCTGGTTCCTTTTCACGCTGTCCCCGCTGATTTCCCTCTCTGGGTGCTGTTCCCTTCCCTGCTGTTGTTCCCCCGCAGGATGTTTCTGTGCTGGCCGTTCTGTGCATTTAATTTCATCCACGTTTGACCCGGGATAATGAGTCTGCAGAGACAAGCCCGGGCTGTTTGTGTTTCTCCCCCTGCCCGTGCGTGGTGCTGACCTCTCGCATTGTGTTCCGAGCTGCCTGTGCTGGCCGTAACCTCGCCGTCCTTGAGCCGCTCTGCCTTCCTAATTAAATTTGCTCCCTTCTTAGGAAATGGCCGATGTGAGGTTAGATAAGCTTAAAACTAAGTCTTTTTCTTTCCAAGGCCCTCCTGGCAGAGATTCTCGGCTCATTTTCAGCTTCCTCCTCCAGCTTGCTCGGCGAGGTGAGGAGGAAGAGTGCGCTTCCCCTCGGCGCACCCTCCCGGGGCCGGGCTGCTGCTGCTTTTCTGTGCGGGTTTTCTGGTGGTGAGGTGCACGCCAGGGGCGAGCTGGAGCTCGGTGGTGATGTCAGCACCTGCTGGCAGGCAAAAACAAAGCCTTTTTATTGTCCTCCCAAACCGGCCTCCTTATCTTCGCGTGGCGCTTTATGGCGTAATCACGGGACTGGGACATCAGAGCCCGTCTGCTTTGCGTTCCCGTTCCCTGGGGGTGCTCAAAACCCTTAGTTTGGGAGCCCCGGGGTGCTGGCTAGATAGGAAGGAGATGAATTAACCTGCAGGGAGCGGGGTAGCCTCCAAGCATGACTTCCCTGCACCTAAAGCAGCTCCTCCCCGTGCGCGGCGCTGCAGCCATGTGCGCTCCTGGAACGAGGCAAAGGGCAGGGGAGCTTTGGGTTCGTTTCCACGCGGGGCTGAAGCAGCTCGGGCAGCTTCCCCTCGGCCTCTCCTGTCGTAGCTGCGAGCTGCCTGGGTGGGGTGTCGGGGTCTGAAACCGGTGCAAAGAGGACCTGAGCCCTCCTCACGGGGCTTTGGTGTCGGTGGTTTGAAAATAAAATAAAACAAAACCTGTCCACGCTCCTGGGGGCACCGTGGCGGGGTTGGTTCTGCTCTGATCAATGCCCAGCTGCAGTTCGGGAAGTTGGGTCGGAGAGGGAGGAGGCAGAGCCCTGCTCCCTCCGTGCTTTTTGGCAGAAAGAAATGAAACAATTCCACGTAACCGAGAGCAAAACAACTGGAAAGGGGGGGATCCACCAGGGCAGAGGGAGCTGAAGCAGGAGGCACGGCCCTGGCACGAGGCATGGGGCTGCTGTGCCAAGAGGAGGGCAGCCGAGCGCCCTGAGCTTGGCCACCAACGCTGCCAAAAGCCTCGTGGGGCAGATTTGGCATCCTGGGGCCGCGACACCTCGCCGGGACGAGGCAGGGACCCCGCTGGATGGTGCTGGGGCGCGGGATTCAGCGGTTCCTTGGCATGGGCCCGCGGGTGCTGGTCTCCAGCTCCGGCTCTGAGGTCACTGCTGCCGTCTGGCCGCACCGATTAGGGCTCGTGGGCCAGGGCGAGGTGGAGCTCAGGGGGCTGGGGCCGAGATAAGGCGCTATCGGGGCACCGCACACTCGGCTTCTGCTGGTCATGGGAAGGGAGAGAGCTCGGAGGGGTTTTTCGTGAGCTGGTTGAGGACCAGGAGTTGCTTCGGTCTGATAAATTTATGAGCTGGGATCATTTGTGTGCGGGTTGCTTCTGTCATTCAGGGCAAAGGAAATCCTCAGCAGTTATCTGCCGGGGCTAAGGTCACGGCTGAGGTTGGAGTGATGCCTCCTCCTCCCCAAATTTCCACACTTTAGGGTAGGGGGGCACGCTGGAAGGGGAAGCTGAGGCTCCCAGCAGGTGTGGGATGCTGAAATGGAGCAGGACACATCCCCTTTGTCACCGGGGAGCCTTCCTCCTCCTCCTCCTCCTCCCCAGCCCTCCCGTGCTGGGGATGCTCAGCTCCCACGCAGCCCCCCCTGGGCAGAGGGGCTCTGCAGATACACCAGCTCTGCAGTGCTCGGGCCCATCCCAGCCGATGATTTCTGGCAGAATTCTCTGGAGTTGGTCTTTGATGAGCGATCCAACCCCGAGGAGGGCGATCGCAGTCTCCTCTCTCTTCCCAGCAGCCAAAAAACCGGCGAAGCTGCCTGGCTGCGGCGGTTCCTCAAAGCGCAGGGCTGGCACCGGGAGGAATGTCACCCTGATAAGGTGCCGGGGAGCCCTGCGTGTTTTCCGAGCGCTGGCAGGGCTCGTTGTGGGCTGGAGCTTTCTGCTTTCAGCCCAAACCTGGCTCCAGCTTGGTGATTTGGGGTGGGTTGGGAGGGGACCTGCATCACCTCGCTGGGTCACCTCGCTCCTGCCACGTCTGCGGCGCTCCTGGGCTGGGGAGAGGAGACTCCTCCAGCTGCTCACCGGGGAGGACAGCGAGCAGGGTGAGCTCCGTGCCCAATTTCCACCCTCTCTGCTCCTCCGGGACCTTTCGAGGCATCTCCTCCCACGGTGAAAATGGTGCCGGGCCACGAGCCTGCTGGCAACGAGACAGGGAGCCCTGCCTGGCTCCTGCTGGCTGAGCCCTCACCAAACAGCGCGGGCTCCTCGCCAGCCCCGGACGTGTCCCAGCAGCTTGGCGCAGGGAGCGGGGCTGGAGGTGCCTGCAGGGCTACGCCCCTCGATGCCAACGGAGCCGGGGCCGAGCGGGCGCATCCTCGCGCTGATCCTGGGCAGGGTGCAGCTGAGCACGGCGCCTTGCTTGGCACCGCTGAGTCAAGCCCTGCCAGGTTGCACCAGGCAGAAGCCTCCCACAGCAGGGACGGCGCGGCACCGCACCCGGCGGCGCATCGCTGCTGGGTTTGGGCTCTGGCAGACGGCGCTGGCTGCTGCTGCCTCTGCCCCTGCTGCAGGCACCAAGCAGAGCCCGGGCTGTGCACCCCGAGCAGCCCCCGGTGTCTTTTCCCCCAGGAACATGCCCTGGGCACGCTGTTGGGAGCGCAGGGTAGGTCAGGACGCGCTCCCTGCTCTCAGCAGGTGGAGGCACCTGGGCCGGTTCCCTTCATTGGGAAGGTGTTCCCCAGCCCCCTTTTTTTGGGAGGATGAAGGAGCGGGGTCGTGTGGAGGTAGCAGAGGTCTGCCCGAGTGCAGGAGATGAGCCGCTGGCCGCTCAGCCTGCCCAGGGAATCAACATTTCATTAAATGCAGCTCCCTCCTCCCACCCGGACAGGGACAAGGGGGGGGATTTGTGGGGCTGCAGCCGTGCCTCGGGTTGGTAAATCTGCACAGAGGACACGGCCGTGCGAACGCTTCAATCCTCCCCGTCAGGTTTCCTGTACCGTCAGGCAGAAACAATCCGACCTTAGGGAAAAGAAATTAACGCCAGCCTCGATCGCTTTGTGTTTTGTGTAAACAGCTTCCCCGGGCAGAACAACCTCACCGCTTAAGCTGCAGAGACAACAAGCTCTTGTCCAGGGCTCCCCGGCGAGCGCGTGGCCGACGGACACGTCCCTATCTCGGCATTTGCATGACCCTAATTTTCAGGATTTCACCCAGCAGTAAACCCCGGGAGGAGCGGGGCAGGAGCTGATAGCGTGTCAGCACCACTGCAGCTGGGGGGGAGCCGCGGCCTCTGGCAAACGCGGGGCTCGGACACCTCCCGTGCTGAGCTCTGGGTGAACATTTAAGAGGAGTGCGTCCCCTGCAGCTTGGTTTAGCCTCCGTCCCCATGCCCGGTGCCTGTCCTGGTGCCAGTGCCCATAGTGGTGCCTGACCCAGTGCCTTTCCCGGTACCGGTGCCCATCCTGGTGCTTTCCCCAGTGCCCATCCCAGTGCCATCCCCATTCCGGTGCCGTTCCCATCCCGGTGCTCTCCCCAGTGCCCATCCCAGTGCTTGCTCCAGTGCCTTTCCCAGTACCGGTGCCCATCATGGTGCTCTCCCCAGTGCTTTTCCCGGTACCGGTGCCCACCCCGGTGCCATCCCCATCCCGGTGCTCTCCCCCATGCCCTCCCCAGTGCCTTTCCCGGTGCCCACCCGGTGCCCATCCCGGTGCTCTCCCCGGTGCCGGTGCCCACCCGGTGCCCACCCCGGTTCCCGGTGCCGCTGCCACCGGCGCAGCGCACACGAGGGGGGCGGCGGCCGCACGGAGGCGGGGTCGGGCCGGGGCGGGGCCGGTGCTACCGGGCGGGGCCGCTCCGGTGCCGGGGCCCGGGCCGGGTGCTCGGGGACCGCTCCTGGCTGCGGGGCGGCGGCACCGGGCGCGGAGCTGCGGGAGCGGCCGGGGCGCAAACCGAAGCGAACCGAGCCGGGACCGATGCCGGCGGCTGAACCCGAGCCCACCGCCACCGGAGCCATGTCCCAGCCCGAGGCGGAGCGGGTGGGAGGCGGTGGCGGCGGCGGCTCCGCGGTGGAACCGGGGCCCCCCGGGCGAGCTCCGCACCGTAACCGCGGCCGGCGGCCGTCGGGGCGCGACCCCCGCCGCGCCTCGTCCCGCTTCAACCGGCGGAGCTCGGTGGAGCTGGAGCTGCTGGGGTACCCCCCACCCACCGGGGGGTCTCCGCCGTCGCCGCCGCCGCCACCCCCGGGAGCCGCCGGGCCCCGGGAACCGGAGGAGACGGAGAGCGAGGAGGTGGAGACGCGTGCCGTGGCCACGTCCCCCGACGGCCGGTTCCTCAAGTTCGACATCGAGATCGGCCGCGGCTCCTTCAAAACCGTCTACAAGGGGCTGGACACCGAGACCACCGTGGAGGTGGCGTGGTGCGAGCTGCAGGTACGGGGAGGGGGCTGCGCACCTGTGGCACGGCACGGCACGGCATGGCACGGTATAACAGGGCATGACATGGCATGGCTCAGCACAGCACGGTGCAGAACGTGGGTAGGGGGCTCAGCCAGGACCTCCCGTGCCCCCCCAGCCCACCCCAGCACCCATCACCCACCGGGCTGCAGAGCAGGGCTGGGTGCTGCCCCCCCCACGTGCCCACCTCGGTGCTGTGCAGGGCTCAGGCTCCGTGCTCATGGCCCTCCTGCTGCTTGCACGCTGTTTTCCCTTCGCCTCGGCACTCCCTGTGCTACAGAGCACTCGTGGGGTGTCAGCACCCCTAGTGCCAGCTCCTGCTCCGGGGGAGGGATGCCACCTGGCTCCAGGCTGTGCTGCAAGGCTGAGCACCCTGCTGCGATTTGGGTGCCTGCTAGCTCTCCGCTCACCCTTTGGAAGGGCAGAGGGGGCAGGGGGGCCCTCTCCTGTGCTCCCTCCACGCACGTGCCCGTGCTGGAGCTGGCCCAGAGGCTCGCTGCGATAGCCCTCGGCGTGCTTAGGGCCACGTGCTGCGGTGAGGCTCAGGGTACGGCGCGTCCTTGCTGCGTGCCAGCCGCTTGCCCTTGGCTGCAGCGGTGCCCGCGGGCACCTGCAGTGGCTCCTGCGGCGCTGCCAGGGGCTCTCTGTTAGCAGCCCCTGGACCTGTGGCTTTCCCAAAGCAGCTTCCTCACCTCCTCTCCCTCCTCTCCCTTCACCATCCTGCTCATGCGGATGCTGGGAAGCCGAGGGCAGGGGCAGAGGCGTTGGCTTTTAAAGATCCTGGGCGCCGAGGGGAGGCTGCAGGGGGAGAGCCTGGCTGCGGGGCTCCTGCTCCCTCCTTGCAGCCCCTGGGGATGGGCTTTGGTGAAGTCCAAAGTCTCCGACGGACTCCCAGCCACCCTGGGGTGCCTGCTGCAGCTGGGAGGTCCAAGTCCTTGTTTGCGCAGAAAAAAAAACGTGCCCTGCGAGTTTGTTGTCTTGCTCCTGGAGCCCCGGTGCCACCTCTCGGGTGGCTGCGGCCCAGTAACGCGCGAAGAGATCCTCAGATAACGGTGAATGAGTTTTGGAGGGCTGAGCGGGGCCTCTTGGCGAGGAAGGTGAGGGCTTGGGCTCCAGCCGGCCTCTGGGGGGTTGCGCAACCGAGGGCACGCCGCGGTCCCACCCTCGCTTCGCCCAATTCTCCCTCCGAATGCTCCTGAGCTCCCCTTTGTGCCTCCCGTCCCTCCGTGTGGCACTGGGAGCACAGCTTGCTGCTGGCACAGAGCTTTCTCCGGGTGATTCAGCCAAGCTGGGGCATCCCACCTGGCTGCCTCTGTGTCCCCTGGGTGCCCCGACCCCGCTGCGCTCGCAGCCGTCCTGCCGGAGCTGATGGCACAGCTTGGCCCCCGTGCGCCCGTTTGGTCCTGTGCCGGGGCTGCGTTGCCTTGCGCATCCCGTGTCCCTGCTCTGCGGTGTCTATGGGGGTCAGATCGTGGTCCCCAGCACACATTTAGGGGCTGGGATGGGTGCTGCTGGTGCTGCAGCAGGAGCTCTGCTTGGCACCCTGTGCTGATGGGCACCCCGTGCAGGTGTCTGTGCCGGGGGGGCTCCTGGGGGCACCTCCAGGTGGAGCAAAGGCAGCCTAGAAGCAGCACAACCCCCCATCCCTCCTCCATCCTGTTCTTTATCCAGTGTCTCTTGTCCCCAAATCCACATCCCGTGAGGGGCTGGGAGCGCATAAGCAGACTTTTCAAAGTTGTTTTTATTTATTTATTATTTTTTTTTTCTCAGCAATGGTGCAAAGAATCAGACACTGTGACACGAATGCAGGATTTGGAACCGCAAATAAAAATGGTTGTGGTTCTGCCCTTTTAAAAATAGCTTTGTCCCACGTCTTTCACAGCTCTCCCTTTTATTGCCTTTAAAATCTAAATGAATTCCCAACCTCAACCCTGACCTGCAGTTCCGGTCCCGAGAGCCTTGTCCGGCTGTCGTGATGCCTCCCAACCCCAAATCCCACCCCCTCTCGGTGCCTTCCTGGCCCCGCCGCGGTGCCAGGTGATTTGGGGGCACCGCTTTTGCCTGTCCCCTGCCTTCCTGTGGGCCCCCCCCTGGGGACCTCCCCGTCCCCGCTGCCCCCCGGCCCTGAACGGAGCCGTCTGTGTCTGCCTCCCGCAGCCCCGCCGTGCCCTGTTTGTGCTTTCCAGCTTTAGGCTGGAGGCTATTTCTGTTGATAGGTGCCGAGGGTTTGGGGGGGGGGAAGGAGGGAGCAGGGAGGAAACCAGAGGCCCGGAGTGGGATCGAGCCGTAAATACGCTGCCTGCCGGTGGTTTTCCTGGGGGGGGACCCCTCGGTGCGTCCCCCCCTGCAGCCCCGTGGAGCGGGGTGAGAGCACCCCAAATGGGGCAGGTGCCCCCAAAAGAGCTCCTGTGCTGATGTTGGGCAGGGAAAGGAGAGCGGGGGCTGCTTGGAGAGGGTTTGGGAACGGAGTGGCTGCCTGTGTGTGGGCAAGGAGGGGGGGGGATGCCCTTGGGGCCCCCTCATGGCCAGAGGTGCCGGGGCCGTGTCTGGAGGGGAGGCCTCTGGGTGCTGCCCCAGCTCCTCTGGAAACGTCCCCTCGCTGCCTGGGTGCCCCCTTTTGGGTGCAAATCGCGGCTTTTACCCCACGGGGTCTGTCCCTGGGACACAAGAGGGGGACGTTGCAGGGCCCCCATGCCCAGGCAGCGTGGTGTGGGGGGGCTGTGGCCGCAGGCTTTGCTCCAGCTCTGGCGTTTCCTCGCCTCCTGCTCCATCCCTCCCCTCCAGCGCTGGCCCCAGCTCCTGCACTTGGCCCTGCTGGGCTCCCCGACAGCCAGCTCCTGGCTCAGCGGGATGGGGCTGGGACAATTCCGTCCCCCCCCCTTGGCACCCTCCTCTTCCTCCGCGGGAGGTGGCTGGCAGGAAAGGGACACCGCGTCCCGGCGGCTCTGCTGGCAGCCCTGGTCGCGTGCCGCCCCGTGGTGCCGGGGCAGAGCCCCGGGGATGCTCAGCTCCTGCTTGGGGTTTGCAGGAGGAGCGGGGCCGGGACCGAACCCAGCAGCTCCGAGGGTTTGGGGAAGGAGCTTGGCTCCCCTCAGCCTCGCTCAAATCCCCCTTGGGGGGCCAAATTCTGTGCTGCCCATCGCTGAGGCTGGGGGAGATGCTGTGGCTGCCCTCCAGCCCCGTGGGTACCCTGAGCCCCCGAGCTCCTCGCAGCTCCCGGGGGGCAGCCGAGGGCCGGAGGGGGCCCGGGGCGTGCGTTTGGGCACCGGGGGGTGATTTTGGGCGCTGTTTTCCTCCCTGGCTATGAAAGGTCCCATTCATCCCCTGCAGCAGGGCTCAAATTCTCCTCCGGGCCTCAAAGCGTGCGTTAAAGGAGAGAGGGGATTATGGAGCGGCTCCAGCCCGGCCACGGGGCCAGTTGTGATGCAACGAAAATATTACAAAAGCTGCCAGGGCCGAGGGACGGCGGCTGCCAGCCGAGGAGCCGTGCACGGGGCCGAAGTGTCCCGGTGCCCTCGGGGGGGTCCTCGGGCTCTGTGCCCACCTGGCCCCTTTGGGATCCGGGCTGATTTGGGGTCGTGGCAGCGGGGTGCAGCTCTGCCCCTTCCCCCTGGGGTGTCGCTGGGTCCCGCTCCTCCTGCGCCCCCCAATTCCTGGGGTTTTGGTGTCTGCGCCTTGCGGCCCTGGCCCCGCTCGGTGCCTGTGTCAGCGCTCAGCTTGGGTTTCCACTTTAATTAACTCGAGCAGGAGGAACATGGAAAAACCTGGGCTGGAGCCTCCCACGCCGGCCTTCCCCAACAAAGGCCTCATTGAGGCCTGCCCGGCTCCCTGCCACCGAGGTGCCCGGTGCCTCGCCGGGGGGCAGGAGCCATCCATGGAGGGGGGACACGGAGGGTGCTGAGGGCATCGGGGCTGCACGGGGCACCTCGGTGGGCTGGCGGTGCTCGTTTTGGGGGGGGCACCGTGTGGGAGCCGAGAGCATCGACCACGGGCCTGGGCAGTCCCAGCATGGGGCAGGAAGGCAGGCGGGCGTCGTGGTGCGGGGGTTTCAGCCATCGCTGCCCCAAAACCAGGTCCTGGAGGAGCCACGAGCGTGGCTGGGATGTGGGGATGGGGGTGGGCTGAGCTTGGGGACCAGCCCCAAACCCCGTGTCCTGTCCCCCCCCCCCCCCCCGCCCATTCCTCGCTCCCGGCAGACGCGGAAGCTGTCGAAGACGGAGCGGCAGCGCTTCAGCGAGGAGGTGGAGATGCTGAAGGGGCTGCAGCACCCCAACATCGTTCGCTTCTACGACTCCTGGAAGTCGTCCGTCAAGGGCCAGATCTGCATCGTGCTGGTCACGGAGCTCATGACCTCCGGCACCCTCAAAACGTGAGCCGGGGGGGCACCGGGGAGGGGAAGGGAGGCGAGGGGATGGTCCTCACCCACTGCACGGGCTCTCGGTGAAGGGGACAGGGCGCTACGGGGCTGGGTGGGGGTCTGGGGGGGTCACAGGCCTCTCCCCCCAGCTGGCACCCCGGCTCTGACGTCCCCTTTGCAACCCAGGGGTGGGCATGGGGTGGCGTCGGGGTGAGGAAGGGCCCCGGGTTGGGCTTGGTGCCTTCAGGGGGGGTTTCGACACCAGCCCCCACGTCCACCTTGCAGCTACCTGAAGCGGTTCAAGGAGATGAAGCTGAAAGTGCTGCAGCGCTGGAGCCGGCAGATCCTGAAGGGGCTGCATTTCCTGCACACCCGCTCGCCCCCCATCATCCACCGCGACCTCAAGTGCGACAACATCTTCATCACCGGCCCCACCGGCTCTGTCAAAATCGGCGACCTGGGGCTGGCCACGCTGAAGCGAGCCTCCTTCGCCAAGAGCGTGATAGGTGAGGACATGAGGGACACGGGGAGCACCCCCACGGGGAAATTTGGGGGCTCGCGGGGCGCCCCCCGAGGCGCTGCTGAGCCCCGCGGTGCCCCCCAGGCACCCCCGAATTCATGGCCCCGGAGATGTACGAGGAGAAGTACGACGAGGCGGTGGACGTGTACGCCTTCGGGATGTGCATGCTGGAGATGGCCACCTCGGAGTACCCCTACTCCGAGTGCCAGAACGCCGCCCAGATCTACCGCAAGGTCACCTCGGTGAGCGCCTGGGGGGGGGGGGAGACGGCAATGGGATGGGGGCAGCGGGACCTCGCCGCTCCCCACGGCTTGGCAGGTTGTGCAAGAAGCTAAAATTAGGCGGGGAGGTGAGAGGGGGCTCGGCCCCGTGAGCCGCACAGGGCAGGGGCACCCGCCTGCCTCACCCCGTGCCGCCGGAGCATTAATGGGGTGGAACGGGCACCGT